CATCCAAACAGAACAATAAACCAGTCCGGTAATCGGTTCAGCACCACCAATACAGACATTACAATCAGTTTGACTGTAGTTCACACACTCTAACCATCCAACGTCCAAACAAATAACTATATAATCAAGGCATGAGCCCTACGCACCATCGCCAAAGAAGGCTGAGACAAACTGAAACAAAAAAACACACCTGTTCAACACTTGTACGAAGGTGCTAATCTGAACTTGACTTCACAGCATCGAACAGAGGAGTCTGCACCAGCATCACCCTTCTCCGACTAGGGTTTTCTTGCTATTACGGCCAAGAAAAAGAAATCACAAAAGCTACCACCAGAAACTGCTAGGGTTTCCAAAAAAAAACTGCCGCCAGAAACTGCTAGGGTTTCTGTAAAAACAACCACCAGAAACCTGTTAGGGTTTCTGCAGAAACAGCCACATCCAAACACTTTTTAAGAATAGGGCAGGAGGGATCGTAGGTCTTTTTCAACCTAGAAAACCTGCTCTGATACCATGTGGTGATTCGTGGGGATTGGGAGAGAGAGAGAGAGAGAGGTACGGTTGAGAGGAAAAAAGTAACTACTGGCTGCCGCCAGTTTTCTATATATATTAACTTCATAAAATAATCAGAAATTACAAGTATGCCCCTGGCGGCATATCCTAGAATCAGAAGAATAAGAAAAAAGAAACAAGTAACTGTAACTGTCCAACAGCCTACTAACAGCAGCTATAAAGTAACAATTAAGTAAGCCTTACAACAGTTACCAAAAGCACTTCCGTCAAAGCTAAGAGTCCAAGTTCCTTCCCTTCTTACTGAGGGAACTCTGGGGAGAGGTGGGATAGGAGGGGAGGAGACCAGGAAGTTAAACACATTTCTGTTAAGGTCATTAACACTGATTCCTGTGAACTCCTCTGAGCTGGAAGGCCACAAATTTCAGTAATGAGTGATGCGGTTGATCAGCTCACCCTTAGAAAGACTTGGACGAGAACTCACCTCCAGGGTGGGGTTTCCAGACTCAGGAATCTTGGGAGTTTGGGGAAATGTAGACTTCACTAACAGAGAGAAGGAGGTCAGTAAGCTCACTGTCTCCGGTTCCTTTAAGGGTCTTCTGAGGTTTGAGTTTATGTTGCTTTCATTGGGAGAATTGGGGAGGCACTGGGAGATGGTTGCACCTTTGTTTAGGGTAAGGTTGTAGAGCCTAGGATAAGATTCTGGTAATGTGGAGTTGCTCCACCACAGATCCATCCAGAACTTTTTCTTGTACCATTACCCACCCTATATCTAATGAAAGAAAGAAAGAGGTTGTGAATGGAAGAAATACCTTTCCAGGGATTTGAGGAAGCTGATCGGTTTGAGCGGGGATTTCAGTCCCAACCGTTTACATTTATTCCTTACTTGCTGGTGATGGTAGCTGCCCAAAGGGAGTTTCATTCAATGGGGAGTCTCCACAGCCATTTTCCAAGGAGGGCATTATTCTTCTCCTTTAGGTGCCCGATTCCCAGTCCTCCAGCCTCTTTTGGTTTACAGACTTGACTCCAATTTACTAGATGTCCTTTTCTAACACCTCCGCCTTCCCAAAGGAAATCTCTTTCAAGTTTTTTGATCTGTGATATGATTTTAGCAGGGATCTAAAACACTGAAAGGAAATAGACGGGCATGTTTGCAAGGGAAGCCTTAATGAGGGTAATTCTACCCCCTTTTGAGAGATAGCAGCTTTTCCAATAGCTAACTTCTTTTCACATTTTTCCATCACTGGCTCCCAAAAACTTGGATTTTTTGGATTCCCTCCTAGTGGCATACCCAAATAAGAAAGGGGGAGATTTTCCACTCGGCAGTTCAGAGTTTCGATTGAGTTGGGCCGATTTCTAGTTATTGGGCCCAGTTGTTTTGTTCTTATTTTAAGTTGTTAAGTTAGGAAGTTGTTGGGCTTTAGGCCCATTGGCTTATGTTTTTTAAGTTGTGACTATTCAGCTACTTTAGTAGCCGCCCTACTAAGGGCATTCTTGTAATCTTTCATTCTTTTAAGTTGAGTATAAAATATAATGAGGGGTTGGCGGCCAGAACTAATTCAATTCTGGTTAACATCCCACTCTTTCTTTCTTCTCTTTTCTTCTCTATTGCTGAAACTCTTCATCTTCTTCTTTCTCTTCACAAGGAATTCATCCTGATTTACAAACACTGATTTCTACTTGGTATCAGAGCAAGGCTAAAGGTTCCTTGAGCTGTTTTCTCATGCAGCCCTAGATTGGCCGACTGCATGGTGATTTAAGAGACTGATCAAAGATCTCAAGTAAGCCCAGTTTTTGGATTTTTTGGTGAATCTATTTTGCCCTGTAGCTGGTGTAGGGTTTCTCATCAAAATCAGGAAAAACCGGAGAAAGGGGAAGAGTCCTGTTTCTGTTGGACTCTTCAATTTTGACCTAGGAAGTGGCACCCTAATTTTTTAGGGTTCCTTGGAGTTTTCTGTAGGGGGCGGTTCAAGTCCTGCCTGATTTGGAGGTTTCTGTAGAGAGTAGCTGCCTCTTCTCTCTCTTCTCCCGTCCCACAGAAAAGGAATCTTTTGTGGGAGGACCATATAGGGCACCAGAAAGGTGTCATTGGTTCCAAAAGTGTTTCATTTGATCTTCTTGCATATTATAGTAATTTTCTTTGCATCTTTTGAGAAGTATGGATGGTCATAGAGTTGAAAACAAGCCCGGGAGTGAAATAGGTCCAGTGAGAGGAGGTGCAGGAGACCTTTTCGGGGTTGGGATCATTACTACAGTTAAGTTGGATGGTTCGAATTACTTAGAATGGTCACAATCTGCAAAGACGACCATTGGTGCTTGTGGGAAATTAGGGTATATCACTGGTGAAGAAGTGAAACCCGAAACTAACAGCTCCCGGTGGGTATAAGAGAACTATATGGTGATGACTTGGCTGTGTAATTCCATGCTGCCCCATATAAGTAAAAACTTTTTATGGGAAAATACAGCTAAGGAAATATGGGACGGGTTTGCAGAAACCTATTCACAGAGGGTTAATGTTGCTAGGACTTATCAATTGAGAAATCAGATTATTGCTACAAGGCAAGGAGATAGACCTATTGACAAAGCTCTATCAAAGCTACGACAAGAAGGCACGATACGGGTACACCAGGTTGCATTTGAGCGATTGACAATGAGAGTGTATGGCTGGCAGGAGAATGCGCTCGTAGGATGTTTCATTGGCGGTCTCCGAGACGAAATACGAGTAGAGGTGAAGGTCATGCAACCTACCACCATGTCCGCAGCTGTTGGACTGGCTAGACTCCACGAGGACAAGCTAAATAGCTTGAGGAAAATAAACCGAGGCGCAGGACCGATCTTGAAGACTCCACTCAATCCTCTTGAAGGTTCAACTGCCAAGGCAACGACAGTACCAATTCAAACAATTCATCTGAAGAAGCTCTCATGGTCAGAAATGCAGGCTCGTAGGGAACGAGGCCTCTGCTACAACTGTACGAGAAATTCTCCCCTAGAGATAAGTGTAAGCGACATCAGGGTGTAAGTTTTTTTTTTTTTTTATCAGCAATCAGGGTGTAAGAAAATAGAACCAATCTACCCTAATTGTGTAGGATTTGTACATAAGAGTTTACAGGGAATTCAACCAAATATTAGTATTACTCAGGTTCAAAAAGATGGACCAAACCCAATTGGTTGGTTGCCAATTGACACCTTAAAATAAAACAAGGTATAACAAATACCTCTTCTTGAAGCAACAAGGGAAGACTTTCAGTTGAAACAAGGCTAGAAATTTCTTGTTTTAACTTCTCTTCTTTGATACCAGACCATGTACGTGGAGGCAAGGCCAGTAACAGAACAGTTACAACATCATTGCTCACTGGATGCATCCCAAAATAGTTACTTGAACTTGAACCACAGCATGCCCTGCGCCTTGTTGGAGATGAAGGAACCAGCAATTCAACCCCTTGCTCACTGCAACCTGATAAAACTGTCCCTGAGACAACTGTAACAGGCATGTCACCATTAGCTTTCAGGCATTTCACACATGTTTCCTTACAGCAGAACTCATTAGAAGTGCTAGAATTTCCTGTCAAAAGTTCTGCTCCTTGGCAACAAACACTTGCCGCAATTTGAGACAAAGTGTCATCACCATCCAAAGAAGGGATATTTTGGCAACATGAATTTGCAGAAGAGAACCATTCTGTCACATGCTTATATAGTCCAGCTTCACGTACTTGTTTCAACACCTCTTCCTGAAACCAAAAGGATTGGTGTTTCAAGCTTGAATGTATTACAAATATGACAAACATATGATTCACCAAAAATAGATGAGGAAACTGAGAAGGGATTAAAAGTGAAACTAGACCTTGACTGCAAGTCTCTCTTTCTCCTCTGTACTTAAACTTGAATTCCCATCTTCTTGTCTCCTAACTTCTGCAACCCACTTGATGAACTCCCCAAAGTTGTTAGGAAGTGATGCAAATACAACAGAGAGAACCTGCTGAACATTTTTTACATCCTCTGATTCCAGGAGGAGGGGAACATCATCCATTAAGTACTTTGAAGTACTGACCCAACTCTCATGCTTACAGCTCTGGAAAAAAAAAACAACAAAAAAAGAGGTAAATATGTTGCTATTATCATTTACAACCACATTAGCAGTTTCAGATAACTACAAGTATCCAGCAATGCTCAACCAAACAAGGTTAAAGTAATGGCATAAACTGTATCTTGTACTTCACAATATGAAAACTGTGATGCAAGGCAAACAAAAGAAGGAATGGGTAGTTTCCACTTTTCTACCATAGTTGGGGCACCTTAATGTAGGTAACTAAGTATTCCACACATCTCTCGAACTTAAACCTAATCTGATCCCTATGGCCAGTGTCTTACCAAGTACCAACCAAGAGGAGTGAGGCAACAAAATCTCACCATTGTAGTGGAAGGGTTATACCTTTATAATACAATTATATCCTTTATTTTTGAAAAAGTAAGGTTTTGTATTGTATTAATATCAAAAAGGAAGTCCGTGTATATCCAGTGGTTAGCAAAGTTATACAATTTGTTAGCTAGACATTAACAAAGAAACAAAATGTCCTTGTCAAAAAATCTGTGATAGGCCAGCAGACAGAATTCCCTATGAGGTGACAACCATGAGCAAAGCATCCCTTTGATGTTGGACAGCAGGGTTTGATAACTTTGATCATCCGAACTCATATTCTTAAAGATCTGAGCATTCTTTTCCCTCCAAATATGCCAAAAAGCAGCCATTGGACTCAGAATCTATTAGATTTTACCTCCCACTCAAGCCTTTCAAAAACCAGCTTTCAAGGAAGGAGGATAGATGATGAAAAGCAGCCTGACCAATCAAAAGTCCCCAGAACTACACTCCACACCCTATATGCATGCTGACAATGAAGAAAGATGTGATTAGCTGCTTCTTAATCAGCAGAACAGAAAATACAGCCTGCCTGGTCCAGTGTCAGCCCCGTTCAGGAGCTTATCCCATGTTAAGCATTTTCGCAAAGCAGGAGCTTGTAGAAAGACTTCACGGAGAAGAAACCATTATCCTCACCCATCCATATTTTGGAATCTTGTGAGTCCAAATAGGGAGAGTGGTGTTGCAGCAGATGGAGCATTTCCATCAGTTGATCGACTCCCAATTATTCAAATTCCTTCTGAAAATTAGAAACCAGTTGACTACACCATTGGAGATAGAGTAGCAGTCCCTAACCAGAACCCCCTATCCTGAGCAGCCAAGAACAAAGCCAGAAAGACCTCCACAAAAAGTTGCTGTTCACACCATTATCCAACTGGAATTTGATTCACTCTAACCCCATGAGAAAAGGCTGTGTAGAGCTTTTCCATGCCTTTCCAAACTGAGGTACCATATATTCATTCTTATTGCAGTACATTTTATAAAACGATCTCTGATTTATTGATATAATAGTAATCTCAAACTACACATTACATTGAAAAATAAAAGGATTTTTTACTCTGACAACCCTTGAACTTTATAAAAAAGCCATTTTAGACCCTAAACATTGAAAATAGCCATTTTCACCCTCAATCTATGATGGAAAATCCATGTTAAGCCAAAAATGGACGACGTTAGAGACGTCGTTGACAGTTCCGTTAAACAATTTATAAAATAATAAAGCATTGAATCTCACACATGACCAAGAATAAAAACAAAAATTGTTTAATGTATAAATTAAACACCTGTTTGAATTCAGAGCTATCTAAATTCTAAACTACCTTTGCAGCTTAGCCTCCATTTTATTAAATACTTACACGGGTTCTCTATTATATTTACAATTGATTAAATTTTAAAGAATTTGTGTGAGACAACTGTCTTTTCCCACAAACAAACCAAAGCAGGACCTTTACACCACCCCAAGCTATTCAAGCTGGTTCACCTAGGGAGAAACTGGCACTGAAGGAGTTCTTTGATGGCAGCTCCATCTCAAGAACACCCAAGATATACGAGTACAGGGGTTTGATTCACATGGTGGTACACAAGTACTTGATCGGTAATGTATGTTTGATTCACATGGTGTTTTGGTTATTGGAAAAATGACGATTGATTAATTTTGGAGTTCCAATGGAGGATTTGTTTGGTCTGGTGATGAGAAGTTCAAGGGTAGAATGGAGGAAGGACACCCAATGGAATTCTAATGGTCTCTGTTCCCAATCCCAACAAAGAAGGTTGTGCTTCCAAACATTATATGTGTCTACTATTGGGAGATTTGTAATGTCTAAGATGCTTCAAAAATGAAAATTATGGGGAAAGAATGACAACAGATGATTCCTCCCTACCTTTTCAAGATTATCTGGCACCCATTAACAGTAAATTCCCTATGCAGCTGTAGGCTGTGTTTGGTCACCTATCCCTAAAGAAAGGTCTTGCTCCTTGCAGAACTTGGGTTATGGTCCGCATTGTAGTGGGGTTTACATGTTGACCAAACATGCCCTCTGCATATGTGGTGGATTATAGTATTAATTTTGTTCAATTAGATCTTATGCTCTTGTTTTTCTGTTGACTGTGGATCTACCAAAAAGATACATAGATCCAGATTTCAGGACCCACCAACCCCACCATTTTCTTTCTTCATTGTTTCAACACTATTGGTATGCCTTACAAACAAACATCTCTTGAATCCCTAGTTATATTCTTCCTCTGAGATGGGGAGGATCTCTGGCTCTTATCCTCCAAATCATTCTAGCAAAAACTGCTTTTACTATTGGTGGTGGTTTCAGAATTGCGGAGGTAGCGGTGGGGGTGGGGGTGGAACTGTTTGGATTGGTGGAGGAATCAACCCTCACACCCCATCTGGGTCTTCAAATTCAAGGCTAAGCAACACTTACAAAGCCCTTCAAGCCTGGAAATCTGCAATAACAGATGATCCACTTGGAATTCTACACGGTTGGGTAGGAAATAATGTCTGTTCTTATAAAGGGGTTTTTTATGTGGATCCTAAAGAAGAAATGTCCAGAGCACCAGGGCTTGTTGGTGCAGGAACAGATCTCAACCATGCCAACCTCCAAGGCACACTAGTCAAGGAATTCTCTCCTCTCAGATGTAAATCTCCTTCACCTTAATTTTTGTTTTACTCTTAGTCACGTGTGAGATTCAATGGTGGGAGTTTTAAGTGCGATCCACCTGTAATTTCTCAGATTTCTTGACTTGAGTAGTGCCAATATACATTTTTTTATCAGCAACAAAGATTGATTTATTAAGGAAAAACATATGGGATTAGTATAAAAAGATGATCAAACTGTCATCCCCAAGAAACAAACCCAGAACTACAAAGAGGCCCAATATAGATGCTGCCTTGCAGATCCTTGTTTGGCTAAAGTATCTGCTAGCCCATTCACACTCCTTCCAGATTTTAGCAGCAGGTATATCAGCTCAAGTTCCATCTGCTAGATTTCTGGCAAAAGAACTCACTGAAAAAAGCCCATCTGCACTCCAGTTCCAGGTCCATGTGTCTTCTTCCAACAGATTCATAGACTGATTGGACAGCAACTCAAACAGCTCAACCACTTGATCAATTTCCCAGTCTCGAAAGTGTCTTCTGAAAGAAGGGCTCCAGGAGATGCTATTGTCTCTTACTTCACAGCAATCAGCCACCATTGCTTCCTGATTCTCTGAAAGTTGGAATAACTGGGGGAACAACTCTGCTAATGGCCTACTATTACACCAATTATCCTTCCAGAAATTCAGTCTTTGTCCATTTCCCAACTTTGGAGATAAGCCTCTACTGAGAAGTGATTTTTCATAATTTTCTTCCATAGGGAGCACCCAAAAGAGGTGACATTAGTAGTTACCCAATCACCTCTGTCTGTATCATATTTGGCTGCTAATAATTTCCTCCAGCAGCTCTCCCTTTCTTTTCCAAATCTCCAGATCCACTTCCCCAAGAGGGCCTTGTTAAAAATTTTCAATTTCCTGACCCCCAATCTTCCTTTCTCTTTTGGAGCACAGACTTGATCCCAGCTGACCAAATGGATCTTCTTTTGCTCCTACCCATTCCATAAAACATCCCTCTATAACTTTTCCACTCTTTGAGCCACTTTTGTTAGAATTGGGAATAGAGAGAGATAGTAAGAGGGTAGGTTAGATAGGAACCTCTTAAGGAGAGTGATCCTACCACCCAAGGAAAGATATCTGGCTTTCCAAGAGGCCAGCTTCCTTTCCACAAGATCCCACACTAAAGAGGAAGTGCACTTAGCCCCCAGAGGAAGCCCTAGATATATAGTAGGCAGATTGCAGAAAGTCAATCTGACAAGCTAGCACCTCTGCTTGAGCTTCTAAATTCTATATCCTTCCTACTGGAATTAATCTACTTTTTGACCAGTTAACTCTCAAACCCGGCACTACTTCGAACCAACTCAGAACCCCTAAAATAACTCCCAACTGATCCACATCCACATTAATGAAGCAGAGAGTATCATTTTCAAATTGGAGCATTTGTACCTTCTCCCCCTGGACTGGACTCAAATCCTTTCCACAAACCCTCTTCCCCTACTCGGTTAACAAAGGCAGCTAGGATGGAGAGAATGACCAAGGATTGGATAACTTGAAAATGATGATTAAGCTTTTAGAAAGACTCAAATTTGAAGGTAAATTTGGAGAAAAGTGTGGTAGTGGGACAAAACGCAGAGAAGGAAGAAATAGACTTAATTGTTGAATCCATGGGGGGGGTTACAATATCACAGCCAATAAATTATTCATGTCTCCCTTTAGGTGCCAATCCTTGGTCTAATACGTTTTGGGGGCCATTGTTAAAAAGGATTGCTAAAAGGCTGGTAGTGTGGAGGAGAAATTATATCTCCTTGGATGAAAGGGTAACTCCTATAAAGGTGATGCTACCTAATCTTCCAATTTACTACATGTCGGGGTTTAGAATGCCTCAATTTATGGTGAAGAGAGTAGAAAAGGTAATGAGAGATTTCCTATGGGGCACGAGGGAGAGTAAAAGAAACCATCTAATAAAGTGGAAAAAGGTGTGCACTAGGAAGGAACTGGGTGGATTGGGGAATGGGAATGTAAATAACAAGAATGTGGCTTTACCAAGGAAATGGCCATGGAGACTGCCAATTGTGAAAGAAAAATTGTGGCACAAGGTGGTGGTAAGAATTTATGGGCTGAATAAAAATGGATGGGATGATGGACCCTCACTTAGAGCTACTCTTGCCACTCCTTCGAAATCTATTCATTGTATCCTTCCTATATTTTCTAATCTTGTAATATTGATGTTTGTTCTGGAGATAAATAAAATTTTGGGAGGATTTATGAGTAGGGGAGTAAACTCTGAAGGATCTTTTCTGCTCTACAAGAGACAGACAAGTTTGAGATCTGGTCATTCAGACATTCTGCCCATCCAATTATGTGGTCCTTTCTCACTTCTTTGTAACTAGGTGCTAGGTGCATGACCATGCCATCAAGAGAAATTTCAGTCAAAAGACCTATGCAATACATTAATCAATCATAAAAATTTTGCATAAACACATATTGTCTTGTAATCTTTTGGAGTTTTCCATGTGCTGTGTACATCTTCTCATGTACCTCCTTGTTATCTAATGGAAGTTTGTTACTCTTTCTCAAAAAAAAAAGGTATTAAGTTTGACTAATAGCATGGCTGATGCTTTAGCCAAACAAGGGGTGGGGCAATAGTTTTGGGCTCAACTGTAAAGGGATAATACGGGCTTGGGAGTGGTTATTTTTTACCCTCCTTAAAGATCTCTTGTAATCTATGGACGTTATGTTCATAATTAATACAAGTAGTTACTTATAAAAAAAAAACATATTGTCTTGTCCTGCATTTATGGGTGGCAATTTCTCACCGAACCCATTGAACCCACCCAACCCGCCCATTTACTTGAAGTTGGAAATGGGTTGATCACCCATTGGGTCAACATAAATGGGTTGGGCTGGGTCATGGATAACCATTGGGTTAACCACTAATGGTACAGGTGAGAATTCCTTAGCCATTTTCCTTTAATTTTCTTCATTTGAGTGAAATAATTTATAATTAATGCATTAATTTTCTATTAATTATTAACTAAAATTATTTTTTACTTGAATCAACATAGTTCACCCAAATTGACATAAATCCAAATCAACCCGACCGAATCCGGACTGGTCCACCTCAATTCAGCTTGGTTCGAATATGAACAGACCCGGTCACCTCGGTTTGATCCGTTTGGGTCGATCGGCCGAGTCCAAACCTAATCCAATCTAGGTCGGTCCAGTCCAAATACCCAACCCGAATCCGGGCTGCATGGGTTGATTACCTTGACCCGGTGCGGACCGACTGGTTCATACCCGAATCTTGCAAGACCCCATATAAACCGGTCTAACTCAACCCCGAATCCAAACCAACCTGGGCTAGTTACCTTGACTTGGTTCGGACTAGCCGACTCCATCCAGAACCCTGCGCAACCCAATATAGGTCGAACTAGTCTGGACTGCCCACCTTGACCCAGTTCGGATCGGCTAGCTCAGTTACAAACCTTTTGCACAACCCGATATGGACTGTTCGAGTCAACTCGTCATATAGTGAACCTGTCTGATTTGGTCTAACCGGACTGATCCGAATCCAAATGGTTCAACCACTCTTGATGTAATTAGCTCAAAGATAAATCCAGTTAGATAATTCAAGTTGGTCTGACCAATTTGAACCTAAGTGGTTCGGTCAAACCCGAAACCCGAACATAATCAAATGGCTTCAAGTGATTATTTTCTTTTTGTTCTCCTTGTAAAAAGGATATGCATATAATATGATTTGAACCTTCACCACTTGTGTAAACAATAGCTTCCATGACCACCAAGCTATGACCAACTTATTTGTGAAAAGGGAGTTAGCTTTTACTTTTAAGTACATAAATATAAGATTAATGGGTTTGGGTGGGTTGGATTGGGTCAAGGTGGGTTTGGGTTGAACCTAACCCATTTAATTTTATATAACTGGGTCATTAATGGGTTGCTGGGTTAGATGGGAGCCCAACCTGCCCAATTGCCACCACTACCTGCATTGTCCACACAAGGATAAGAGAAGGTGTCAGTATCAGTTTGGTAACCAGCATAACCTATTGTGGGAGTGGTTATTTTTTACCCTCCTTAAAGATCTCTTGTAATCTATGGGCGTTTATGTTCATAATTAATACAAGCTGTAGTTATAAAAAAACATATTGTCTTGTCCTACATTGCCCATATCCACACAAGGATAAGAGAAGGTGTCAGTATTAGTTTGGCAACCAGCATAAACCATTGTATACATGTTTAAGAGAGTTATTTCTCCTTTTTTTCTCTTTACTTTTTCTTGGTGGGGGTGACTAGAGAAAATTAGAACCATACCAGAGTATAAAGCAACGATGGTGCTCTGTGCAGCCTTGAAATGAGCATGAACCTGAGAAAAAATGAAAAATGTTAGGCATATAGGTAAGTGGAAGATCACTGGAAACATGAACAGTTGAGAATTATACCCATACTAAAATTAGAATTAACATATAATAAGTACAAAGCAGTGTCATAGCATAGCCAAACTTAAGTAGTGTTTAAGTTTATGTTTGTTAGTTACTAGCCTTAGTTATGGGCCCTTTTTGTTCTCTTTAATTATTTCTTTAGTGTTGGCCGCCTCATTAAGGGCATCCTAGTAATTGTACTTAGTTTTAGAATTAAGTTAATAAAAGGTGATCAAGAGGGCTAGAGAGGAGAGATCAAACTCTTCTTTTCTCTCTTCCCTTCTCTTCTTCTTCCACAACCTATTGCTGAAACCTCTTTCTTCTTCTTTCTCTTCCTCTCTTCCTTTTTCTTTCTTGCATTTTCTGAATTACTACAGGTGTATTTCTCAACTCGAACATTTACAAAACACAGGTTTTCTAGCAGTCATTTGGAGAAGAGTCTAAACAACCCATGGACTTTTTTTTATCAAAGGTAAAGTGTAGTTGATTTTTTTTTTTGACAAATGAGTGATATTTTATTCAAAGGAAAAAATATGATGTTACAATACAGACTGCCCGAGGAGAGGCACGAGCTGGTACCTCTCCTCAACAACAACAATGTACTACATCAGACTCGGAAATGAAAGTTTACAGAGCCGCCCAGAATAAATGTTCCCTTTTTGCTTAGCTAACCCATCCGCTATGGTATTAGCTGTTCTACCCACCCACTGAGAATTAACAGTCATGTTCCTTGAAAACCAATTAACTTTCCTCATAATGTCCCTGTAGTACCAAATAACTGAATCTGGATTTTTTAACCAACTCACAACTTTGGAGTCTCCTTCAATAAGCAAATTCTGAACTCCTAACTGATCTGCAATCTGAATACCTTGTACCGCCACTAGAAGCTCAGCTCTAATAGTCTCCTATACCCACGGAGCCTGAGAATAAAGCTAAGATATTGCTGTCTTTATCTCTCAGCACCCCTCCTATCCCTGAAGGACCTGGATTTCCTTGGCTGCTACCATCAAAATTCAGCTGTGTCCAGCCTTCAGAAGGAGGCACCCACACAGCTGGTACCCTGTTCTTCCTAGTACTGCTACTAGCCACAACTATCCAATTCCTCCAAATGTCATCAAAGGAGTATATTTTAAAGGAATCCAATGATCTCACTCAATGGGTTGCCCTAGTCAAAATACAATCCTTTACAGTCTGAATATTTCTCTCATTCTCTTGGAAAATCCTCACATTTCTTTCTTCCCAAATTGTCCACAGAGCAGAAGCTCTAATGCACCTCCACATTGTTTTACCATTTTTTGTGGGCCACACAAAGAAGGAAGGGTCAAAGAGCTGATCTACAGTTGTAGTCAAATTCCACCTACACCCAAACAAGGCAAAGATCCAACCCCAAATAGCATCAGAAAAAGAACAAGTTAAAAGTAAGTGACAGCAATCCTCACCATTAGCCCTGCAAATTACACACCAGTTAGGAGACAAACACATGGAAGGCCTTCTCTTCTGCAATAAGTCTGAAGTGTTGATTTACCTATAGAACACCTCCCAGCAGAAAATAATGATTTTAGGAGGTACAGGTCTAGACCAGATCTCCTTAGCTGGAAAACCCAATTGTCCCAAGGAAGAGGAAAGGGACACTTAAAGAAGGAGGCACACATGAAATAACCTTTTAGATTAGGGGACCAAAGTCTCACATCAATCTTAAAGGGTCCAGAAAAACACTTTCAAGTAGTGACAAAAGGTCTGAAACACAAGAGAGTTCATGATCCCTCAAGCCCCTACGAAACCCAAAGTCCCAACTCAGAGAGGAAGGAGAAAGAGATGTTGGAAGAAAGTGTGAGATTGCTTTATTCTTGTAGCAAGAAAGGGAATAAAGAGAAGGGAAACTATCCTTAAGGGCAGAATTGCCCACCCAGATGTCTTCCCAAAATAAAACAGAAGTACCAGAATTGACATCATACCTGATAAAGTTGAGGAAAAACGGGAGGATACTCTGAATTGCTTCCGAAGGAGTTGCCAACGTGGCTCGACGCGATACACCAGCATCCCATCCATTTCCCGAACTGCCATGTATACTATCTATAACCTCATGCCACAGCCTCTCCTGTTCTAAGGGCCACCTCCACAACCATTTACCTAAGAGAGATTTATTCTTCAAAACTAAGTTCCCTAGTCCCAGCCCACCCTCCTCTTTCCTTCTACACACTATTTCCCAGTTTATTAAATGATCCTTTTTTTCCTCCCCTGGCTCCCAAAGAAATTTTCTCATTAACCTCTCCAACTTCTTGGCCTCCCTAACAGGAAACTTGAACACAGAGAAGTAATATATCAGTAGATTTGCTAAGGAAGCTTTCAGTAAAGTTACTCTACCCCCTAAAGAAATATAGTTCCTTTTCCACGAAGCTAACCTTTTCTCAAACTTTTCCAAAACCGGGGCCCAAAAGGTGCTCTCCTTAGGGTTGGCTCCAAGAGTTAGACCTAAATATTGTAAGGGCCAAGAGGAAATGGGACAACCTAGACACTTAGCCACAGACTCAATAGCCCTCTCATCCAAATTCACACCCACCACGCAAATCTTATCCATGTTTATTTTCAGATTTGATACTCTCTCAAAGGGCTTTATCAGAGAATTAAGGTTCCTTACTATTCTCCTATCATCACCCCCTTCACAAAAGATTATTAGGTCATCAGCAAACTGTAAGTGGGTCACCTTGATTCCGTTCCTTCATATCTTCCAACCTCTCACTAGTCCTTCCATGTCTGCCTTAGAGATCAAACCGTTGAAAACATCTGCGACTAGGGTGAAAAGGAAAGGGGAAAGGGGGTCACCTTGCCTTAATCCACTAAAAGCTGGGAAAAAATTGTTGACTACCCCATTAACCAAGACCGGAAAATGGCAAGAACTTATGCAGCCCTTTATCCAATTACAACATCTAACTCCAAACCCACAACACCCTAGGACCTCTAATAAAAAACTCCAATTCACAAAATCATAGGCCTTTTCTAAATCCAGCTTACAAACAAAACCTTGATTTCCAGACTTTCTCATATCCTCCACACACTCATTAGCTATTAGGATCTGATTTGTTATTTGTCTCCCTTGCACAAATGCTCCTTGGGCTTGACTAATGATGGAGGGTAGCACTACTTTAATCCTCAAAGATAGCACTTTAGCCAGGATTTTGTAAGTGCTAGTCACCAAGCTGATTGGCCTAAAATCTTTAGGATTTTTTGTTTCTTTCTTCTTAGGGATTAAAGCTATGAAAGTAGCATTAACTCCAAGACTTACTTTGTTATTGTCCTCAAATTCCTTAAACACAGCACAAAGGTCTTCTCTTACCAAATTCCAACAGTCCTAATAAAAAGCCAGGTGAAGCCATCTGGCCCAGGAGCTTTGGATCTGTCCATTAAAAACACTGCTTGCCTAATTTCCTCTTCTTCAAAACTTCTCTCTAACCAGATTGCTTGCTCTTCAGACAACCTGGGCCAATCTAGACCTTCTAGCCTTAGTCTATTATTCAATGGCTTCCCTACAATTGATTTAAAGTGATCCACCAACACTTTGGCTATCTCATCTTGGTTTGTTACTTCCTCTCCATCCACTTCTAATTTGGCCACACAGTTTTTTCTTCTCCTCCCATTAGCCAACGCATGGAAAAATTCTGTATTGCCGTTCCCTTCTTTGATCCATTTATGTCTTGACTTTTGCCTCCAGGAAATCTCCTCTCTAAGAAGAACTTCTTCCAATTCCTTTTTTAAGCTTCTTCTCAAATTCCTTTCTTGCTCATTCATGATTCGTTGGGATTCTTTGGAATCTAGATCATCAATCCTGGACAACAAATTATTTTTTGATCCTCTATCCTTCCAAAATGCTCCCGATTCCACTCTTTTAAGCCTGGCTCTCAATCTCTTCAACTTTTTATGGAACCTTACACCTTTCCACTTTACCCCTTTCAAGTCTTCATTCCACCATTCACCCACCAATTGTTCAAAGTTTGAATGAGTCAGCCACATATTCTCAAATCTAAAGGGTTGTGGTCCAAAGCCTGAGTTTCTTGACCTAATAGGATAGGGCAGTGATCAGACGTAACTCTAGGAAGAGTTCTAGCCACCAAATTCCTCCAATGATCCTCCCACTCTACATTAAAAAGGAACCTATCAAGTTTGGAGCACAGGGGGTTTTCTTGGAAATTAGACCATGTAAAATTAGCTTGTAGAAGGGGTAATTCCTTTAGACCATAGGTGTTAATTAAGTAACTGAAATTTCTCATGCTTCTAGTAATCGTTCTTTGGGGATTATTTGATTCATTACAAAACCTGATTACATTGGAATCCCCCCAAGCACCACGGGCCATCCCACAAGCCTTGTATTCCATACAACTCCTCCCACATTTCCTTCCTTTCTCTATAACTATTTGGCCAGTAGACATTAGTTAACACCCAAGTGAATCTGTCTTCTACATTTCTGAATTTTAAAGACACAGAGAATCTCCCTATAAGTTCTTCCACTGATTCTACAACATCCACCCTTCACAAGGTAACTATCCCTCCTGAGGCTCCCCAAGAAGGAGCTAAAGTCCAGCAAACTCCTCTTGATTTCCACACACTTCGGACCCATCTTCTATCAAAATCAGCCAACTTGGTTTCCTGTAACATGACTATATCAGGTTTCTCTCTTCTCAGCAAGTCTTTAATTGCCCTTCTTTTTCTTGCACTCCCAAACCCTCTCACATTCCAACTAATGATTTTCGTTGTAAGACTCCTTCCTGACGCCCCTTACTAACCCGGTTCCATCTCACAAAGAACCCTTCCTTCTCTCTCCCCTTCCACTAAACTCAATATCACCCTCTATATCTGAGATTAGCCTCTCCACTTCTGATCTCTTTTTCTTTTTCCTTTGCACATCCCCCTGTCTTTTTAGCTGACCCACTGACTTCACCCACCTCCCCCC